TTTTCTATGGATGTCATTTGCTTGGAGAATTGTTTTTCTGCCTTTTTAGTTAAAGTATTTTTTTTGTCTTTGCAGCTGAGATGTCTCCTGAAGGCAGCATATAGTTGGGCTTTTTTTTTTTTTTTGGAGCAAATCTGCTACTCTGTACCTTTTTCATTGGTTAACTTAGTTCAATTACATTTAGTTTTGGGTTTCTTTGTGTGTGGTTACCACTAGGTTTATGCAAAAGAAAGTTTCATACCCACAATATTCTATTTTTTCCTCTGAATACATCTAATCTCATATGTCTTTGCAAATTCATACCTTTAGTTCCTTTTTTAAATGTTTTTGTGTGTTCATTTATTCTGTGTGTTCATTTCTGAATTTGAGTAGCTTTTGTCTTCTTCCTTTTAAAAAAATGTTATTACCTGCTTTAGCCTTCATGTGGTATTTAAGTGCATAGTACCCAGCTATAAAAAGGGTTGGAATATCTTGCTTCTGTCTTCCTCTTAGTCATGTTCCATGTAGTTTTGTGACCTTTTGTTCTTTGTTTCAGTTAGAATAACCCCCTTGAATATTTTGTGTAATGAAGGTCTTCTGTGTAAATTCCCTCAGTTTCTGTATGTATGGAAAAGTTTTTATTTCTTCTTCATATTACTTTACTGGATATATTATTCTTTTAAAATTTATATTGATTTTTTTGGAGAGAGAGGAAGGTAGAAAGAGAGAGAGAGAGACAGAAACATCTATGTATCTATGTGAGAGAGAAACATAAATTGGCTGCCCCTGCACGTCCCCTACTGGGGATCAAGCCTGCAACTAGGGCATGTGCTCTGACGGGGAATCAAACCTGGACCACGGGAGGATGCTCAATCTGCTGAGCCACACTAGCCGGGTAGATATATTATTCTTGGCTGGATATATTATTCTCTTTAAGTAATAAGAATATTTTATTCTCCTGTCTCTACCTTGTAGGGTTTCTGCTGAGAAATCTGATTATAATCTAATGGGATTACCCTCATAGATTACTGTCTTCTTTTTTCTGGCTACCTTGGTAATTCTTTTTTGTCATTAATTTTTGACAGTTTCAATGTAATGTGCCTCAAAGAAGGCATTTTTGAATTGAGGTAATTTGATGTTCTGTTTGCTTCTTGGATTTGAGGATCTAGCTCTTTCCATAGGTTTGGAAATATCTCATCAACCATATTTTTGAGTAGGTTCTGTTTCCTTCTTCCTCTTTTTTTTTTTTTTTTTTTCTGATATGCTCATTATTCTTATATTGCTCTTTCTGATGGAGTCAGCTAGTTCTTGTACAGTATTTTCTTTCTTTCTCTCTTTTATCCCTGCATCATTTCTAGATTTCTGTCTTTAATATCACTCATTCTTTCCCCCATCTGGTCAGTTCTATTTCCTAAGCTTGCTAGTTAATTCTTTATCTCTCTCTCTCTCTTTTGAGTTCTTCATCTCCAGAATATCAATTTCGTTCTTTTTTAAAGTTTCAATCTCTTTGGTAAAGCACTAGTTTTGTTCATTGATTTTTTTCTGAATTCATTAAATTGCCTATTTGTGTTTTCTTGTATCTCCCTGAGTTTTTTCAGTACTGAATATTAGATTCTCTTATTTATTTATTTTAGAGAAAGAGGAAGGCAGAGGGAGAGAGAGATAGAAACATCAATGAGAGAGAACATTGATTGGCCACCCCCTGCATGCCTCCCACTGGGGATTTGGCCCACAACCTGGGCATGTGCCCTGGCCAGGAACTGAACTAGCAGCCTCTTGGTGCATGGATTGATGCTCAGCCATTGAGCCACACCAGCTGGGCAGATTCTCTCTCATTTAAATCACATAGTTTTATGTTTTTAAGTTTATTTTCTTGAGATTTTAAAATTTCCTTTCTGTGCTATCTTGTTACCTTGGCTATTCATGGCATTTGATGGACTTCTTTTCAGTCCAGACATCTACGTATGAGTGGCACTTTCCTATGATTCAAAGAAAAGGTCTTTCTATTTTTTTCTAGTAGGTGGCACTAAATCACCTGTTTCTTAGTTCTCTTGCACTGCTCTGGCTCTTCAGATGTTGCAGTTGGTGGAAAATGTCCTGTGTTTCCTGGGAAGTTGGGTGTTTTTTCTGTTTCTAGGTCGTTTTAGTCTCGGCACAAACTCTGCAAGGGAATGTGGTGGCCATTAAGTTTCTCTGTCCATGAAATCCCAGTGCTGTCCCCTGAAGACAGACACTGCTAGCTGTTAAGCCACAATGGGTGGTGTGGGGTTAGCTGGGAGAAGCTAGCTGCTGCCTTTGTTGCTTTACTCTCCCAGTAATGGTGACTGGTAGATCTCAGCAGCCTCCCCTTTGTCTACCCGCTGACCCTGGAATTAGTTGCAGAGTACAGGGAAAAAAATGTTTCTGTCGTATAAGCTCTCAGGTGTGCAGATACTGCAATCCTCTGGACCCTGCTGCTAGCTAGTTCTGGGAGGGTGAGGGGGGGTTGCCAGGATTTGTGTCTGTGTCTGAAATGCCAATGGACAAATAATGGTGGTCGTACCTTGGTTCTTTGTACTTGCCCATTCACTGGGTTCCATCGCAGCTTATACTGACCACTCCCCCAGGAATGCTCACTGTATCTCTCTGTTCCTACCCGCTGAGGGAGTGCCAGTGACAACCGGACTTCTTCCCTCTCTGGGCTGAGCCTCAGTGAGCTCTGGGTTTGAAGCTCCAGGATTCATCCCTGGCACCATCTCAGCTCTTCTCTCTTCCCAGCTCCCTGGCTCTGCTCCCCTTGCCCAGCGTCAGATGTTTCATTGTGCTGATCTCTCAGATATGTTTGTGTGTCGAGAAGGGAATTCTTTGTTGAATTATAGATGTTCAAATTATTGAAACTTCAAGGGGAGAGACCAAGGGGACCTTGCATTCCACCATTTCTCTGACCTCTATTTTTATTTTTTGAGGAAACTCCATACAGTTTCCATAGTGGCTGTACAAATTTACACTTTTACCAGCAGTGTGTGAGGGTTTCTTTTTCTCTACATCCTCTTCATTGTTTGTTATTTCTTGTCTTGTTGATAACAGCCATTCTAACAAGTGTGAGGTGGTATCTCATTGTGGTCTTGATTTGCATTTCTTTTTTAGCTAGTGAAGCTGAACATCTTTTCATATATCTGTTGACCATTTGTATGTCTTCTTAGGAAGAATGTTTTTTCATGGCTTCTGCCCGTTTTTTAAAATGGGATTTTTGTTTGTTGTTGTTGAGTTCTTTATATATTTGGATATTAGCCCCTTATCAGAGATTTTATTGGCACATAACTTCTAACCTTTGGTTGGTTGCCTTTTTGTTTTGTTGATGTTTTCTTATTCTGTGCAGAGGTCTTTCAGTTTGATGTTGTCTCATTCATTTAAAAAATAATAATTTATATCAGTATTCCTTGCATTATTCAGGTAACTTTTTGGTTTTACTCAGATTATTCATTTCACAAGGGGAATTATGTGACATATTCTTTGAGCTCTTGAGTGTTCAAATATGGATTAATTTTTCCAATATAAAAGAATGATAATTTGCCTGAATAAAAAATTTAAGATTATCTTATTACCTCAGAATTCTCCAAATATTTCCCCACAACACTGAACATGAGAGATCTAAAGCTAGTGTCCTAAAATTCAGAAACAATGAGTGAGACTGAGTGAAAACCTTCCTTAATAACTTTGAGCACAATTCTGTGAGTCCTCTACATTATAAAAGTAGAGGTTTTCGGTTGGGTTTTTTTTGGTTGTTTTGTTTTTTCCTAAGGACCTGTATCTGAAATCTTAGTGTCTGGCCTATCTTTTGGCACCAGGTGTGCTCTGACTAAATGTCAGTTGAATGCTCATATGAAAACCAAACAAAGGAATACTATTGAAACTGCGTTTAGGCTGCCACAGTAAGCCTTAATGAAAGGAATGAAAGTAAAGACTCAACACAGTTATTCTCCCATGAACACTCTGGTCCCCTGGAGCCACTACTTTGCCCCCAATAAAACCCTCTCATCAGACACCACCAAGGGGACACCAGAGCTCCCAGGCTATTACATGTGAAAAAAAAGCTGCATGACTGGTCTTCTTACTTAGAGTACCTGTAGACACTCGCAACTCATTAGGGTAGAATGGGAATCCAAAGCTCCTCCCTGTGTATTCACTATAGACCCACTCATATAACGTGAGTGAAAATCTGTCTGCCTATCGGCTCACCACTTCTAGGTCAAGCAAACACATGGTTTCCTTTAACAGTGACAGTTTGTCTGACTAGTGAAACTGAGAAAAAGCATAATTTCCTTAGATTATCTGATAATCCGTATTGTCACTGCCGGTCCTTTTTCACTATGAAATATGGAGATTTATATGTAGATAACACAGCTATGCTCAAAGTGCATAGTTTCTTCTTAAAATATTTTTTTGTGAAGAGCGGAATAGAAAAACAGAGGAGAGTCTGAAGGGACAGGGAGAGCAGGCAAGGCAATGAGAAGAGTGACAGTAGACTCCCGATGAAAAAATAATGGAAAAGTAGAAAAATTTGGAGAAGACAGGGAAGAAAGAAAGGCTGGGAAGCTGATAGGAAGAGGAAGAGGTCACAAAGAGACAAGGAGTCGGGAGACTGCTGGAAAGGCCACTGGGCACTACTGAGGTTATTTTACCACCTCTCTTTATGGAAAAGGATATGGAGAACCCAAGTATGGGCTTCGTTTCTCCAAGGCCAAGAGATATTAAATGTTCTGGCCAGAATACACACTGCAGACTTTGTTATAAGCCAGAACTCCTGTTATAGTTGTTGGCGCAGTGGGGAGGTTAGGAGGCAGACAAAATCAGGAAGACAATCTGGAAGCCAGATAGTGGTAGAGAAGGAGGGGAAATGAGAGACCTTGTGGGAGGCTTGTGGTTGAGGGAGGCAGTAGGGTTTCTCTGAAAGAGAAGTGAGCAGAAGGAGAGGTGTGTTTATTTGTGTGGCAAGGGATATTAGATAAGAATTCAAGAGCGTCTGGAGGGGAAGTTGATGTCTGACTTCTGAGGAACACTTGTCTTGCTGTGGTATCCTTTATCTAATAAGCATCAATGCTGCTTCTTCTGCCCCTGCTCTTCGAGGGAATTCTCTGTCATGGGCCAGGCACGAAGGGTAAGAAGAACCCAGGTGGAAAGATACCTGTTTTGAGGCATAGAGGGTGGAGAAAAAGTTATGGGGAGGATTTTGGGGCAGGGGGTAATGCTCCTACTGGGTGTCCTTGTAATCTGCGTGACAGGCTAGTTCCAGGCAATGTATCCTTGACCACAGTCTCGGTATCTCTCTCTGATTCTGGGGAGAAGAAACTGGATCAGAAAGAAGGGGGTATGAGGATATGTGCAAACTCTGCAACTATTTCCATTTTTTCCTATGTGGGCCCCTCTTCTTCCATCCTTTCACACGTTCTCAATGGTCATTTCTCTGTCTCTCAGCTGCCCACATTCTAGGACTCCATCATCCAGCAGCAGAAGAACCCCCCGCCTTTTACTTGCTCCAGACCTCTTCCTTTGCCAACCACAGCTGGCAGCACACCCAGTCCTCAGCCTGGGTGGGCGAGCTGCAGACTCATCGCTGGGACAATGATATGGGCACCATCGTCTTTCTGCGGCCCTGGTCTCAGGGTAATTTTAGCGAGGAGGAGTTGAAGCACCTCCAGGCGCTATTGCAGTTGTATTTCCATAGTTTTCCCAGCCAAGTGCAGGAGCTTTCCAGTCAGTTTCAGTTAAAATGTGAGTTTGCTTTTCCAAGCTGATATTTGCCTGAGGGCTCCAACCAGGTGAAGATAGTATGTGGGCTTTGACCACCATTCAACCTTCCTGACCTTGCTTTCTGTCTGCCTTCACTTACTCTCTCCTCTTAGCTTCACCCTTCACTATCATTCCCACTCTAGCCCCACCCCACCATATACACAGAAGTACCTACACATACATATCTCTTCACATCCATGAATATACCCTCTTATTCTGGCTCCTTGGAGTCGTATCTTCTTTTGATGTTCTTTCCCCCATCCTCAGCTTCAGACTCAGTCTTTCCCAGCCAGGATGTGCTCTCCTTTCTTCCTGTCCTGAGTGTTTGGTGGCTAACCAATACCTGACCCCTCCCAAATGAGCTCTTCCTGACTAGTCTGCAATGTTTCTAAATCTTCCCTTCTAGCCCCCTCAAATCAGTTATTTTAATGCACCTTTATTATCTTCACATTTTCTTCCCATAAATTTCCTCTCCCTTTTTCATCCCAACTCTAGTATCCCATGTGATTTGCCAGAATTTTTCCCCATTAAATCCCTTTACTTTCTAGATTGTTTACTTTCCTTCCCTACAGTTCTTTCCATGTTGACTTTTTCTTCCTTGTCTACGACCAGATCCCTTTGAGATTCAGGTATTATCCGGCTGTAGATTGCACCCTGGGAAGGCCTCAGAAAGCTTTTTAAATGCGGCATATCAAGGATCAGATTTCCTGAGTTTCCAAGACAATTCCTGGAAGCCATCTCCAGGAGCAGGGAGTCTGGCTCAGAACGTCTGTAAGCTGCTTAATCACTACCGAGTTATTAAAGAAATTATGAAGAGAATTCTCCGTGACACGTGCCCGCAATTTCTGGCAGGCCTCCTTGAAGCAGGGAAGTCAGAACTGGAACGCCAAGGTGAGCCCAACGTCCTCTCCTCTCATATTCTCAGTGCTTCAGTTCTTGTATTTGAGTTTTTTACTCTTTATCATCCCCTTGAAACATACAATAAGAGGCGAGAGGGTGAGTGTGGTTTTAGGACTATTTCCAAGAAAAGAGAAAGAAGTGATTAATTAAACTGCTAAGGCACCTGAGTCACTTAGCTCTGGCTTAGGATATATTCCTAAACTCCACTTCTTCTCATCTTTTTTCCAGTGAAGCCAGAGGCTTGGGTGTCCAAAGGCCCAAGTCCTGGTCCTGGGCGTTTGCTGTTGGTGTGTCATGTATCTGGCTTCTTTCCAAAATCTGTGTGGGTGAGGTGGATGCGAGGTCAACAAGAGCTGCCGGGCACTCAGCAAGGTGAAGTCTTGCCCAATGCCGACACAACATGGTACCTTCGAGTAACCCTGAATGTGGCAGCTGGAGAGGCGACTGGCCTGACTTGCCGAGTGAAACACAGCAGCCTAAGAGGCCATGATATAATCATCCACTGGGGTGAGGAAGAGCTAGGGCTCGGCTGGGGCATGATAGTCTTCCCATAGTTCCAGGGCTAATGAATGAGCAGCTGGAGAAGTGGATGGAAATGTTATGCACAGAGGATAAAAGTGGGAAAATACAAATGAAGAAGGGTAAAAAATGATAGCAATTAAATTTCAACAAAACAGAAGTAGAGGATTAGAGGTGGTAAAGAGGAAAAAAAGAGAGATCTACTGATTTGGTAAAAAAAGAGAGAGGGGGTGAGATTAAGGACATAGACTTGGGAAGAATTGAAATGAGGGTTCTGGAAAATATAGAAGAAAACTCTTGGTAGGTCCTATGTCTGTGAAATGAGGAGCATTAACTAAGGTAGAATAGCGAGAACTTCAAAGATTGATATTCTTATTTTATCCTCAGATGGGTACCCCATCTTCCTCATATTGATCTGTTTGGCTGTACTACTTACCCTGGTTATGTTGGTTGTGGCTGACTCATGGATTAAAAAGCAGAGGTGAGATTTTTCTTGTTCTGTTTCTTCAACTACTTATCAACTCATTCTTTTTTCCCTTATTGTTTTTCTTTCTTCCCCCTTCCTCTGATTTCCCTTTTTTGAGATCTGGATTCTCTTCTTTCCCACAGCTCAAATGTGAACATTTGTTCTCTCCACGGGCTCCGCTTAAATGTTCCCACAAAAGTCAACATCCAAGAAGCCAGGAATTTAGGGCATCAACTCTGCTTGGCACAGAAATCATGGATGAAAAACAGTTTCTTGAATAAATGTAAAATAAGTCTAAGCAAACTCCGATGACATTTGTTTTACCTTATGCATAAAATTCTTATCTGCCTCTTTTTAAATATGGTTCATACCAATAAACAAAATATGAATTTGTTGAAATAGCTGGCTTGTTCTAGCAGAGATTCTGACTCATTTGGAAACGTGTCTGCCCCCCACTCTCCATCTTGTGACAATCTCTTTTCTGCGTTGGCTACATGTTTATTGATCCTTAAACTCTAACTCAGATGCCTGTTTTTCATGGAAGCTTCCCTGGATTGCTCAATTGAAATCTCAGGACAAGTACCATATGATTTTACTTATATGTGGAATCTAATGCACAGAAGAAACTAAAAAACAAAACAAAAACAGACTAGTAGATACAGAGAACACACTGACAGCTGTCAGAGGGAAGGGAGGTTGGGGGGCTGGGTGGAAAAGGTGAAGGGATTGCCCAGCCAGTGTGGCTCAGTGTTTGAGCATCCACCCATGGACCAATATAGGTTGCCAGTTTGATTCCTGGTCAGGGTGCATGCCCAGAGTTGTGGGCTCAATTCCCAGCAGGGGGCATGCAGGAAGTAGCCAGTTGATGTTGATGTTTCTCTCTCATGGCTGTTTCTGTATCTCCCTCTCCCTTCCTCTCTCTAAAATCAGAAGAGTGGGTGGGATGAGGGGGGGAAGAGACAAACCACAGAACTTATATGCCTGTACACATAACTGATGGACATGGACAACAAAGCTGGGGGCGGGGTGGGGAGAATGGGGAAGAGGGTGTCAATGGGGAAAAAAGGAGTAACAGCTGTAACAAAAATAAATTAATAAAAAAAATTAATAAAATCAATAAAGTATATATTTTTTTTAAAAGGCTAAGGGATTAAGCAAAACAAAAAACAAACACACACACACCAAAAAACAACCCCCCCCCAACAAAACTCATAGACACAGATAACAGTATGGTGATTACCAGAGGGAAAGGGGAGGGGGGGGAGGTGGAAGAGGGTAAAAGGGGGGTAAATGGTGATGGAAGGAGATTTGATTTGTGGTAGTGAACACACAGTTCAATATGCTGATGATGTATTATAGAACTGTACACCTGAAACCTGTATTCTTTTATTAACCAATGCCACCCTGATAACTTCAATAAAAAATAAAAATTCTGGAGATTCAACATGGCGGCAGGCAGGACTGGAGTGAGGCTGTGAGTGTGAGTGGGTAAGCACGTGTGAAAGAGAGTGTGTGTGGGTGTGACTGTGGGTGGGCAGCGGCCTGTCGTGGAGGAACACAGGGTGAGAGAGGCACGTCAGGCAGAGAGAGCTACAGGCTGCAGAAGTGGGTTCCCAGGCCAGGCGCCTCTCCCCACATGGGATCAGAGAGTGCACCATTTTGGAGGATCCACAAGGTCCCTTTTGGGAGGAGGCTGCAGGAAAGCAGGAGCAAGAGAGCTCCACAAGCCAGGAGTCAAGCTCAATACAAGAGCCAAGAGAAACCAAGAGAACAGACTTCTTTGTTCAGGGGATTAAATATTCTAAATTTTGTGCCCTTGCAGTGGCCATGCCTGTTCTGACCTATGACCTATATCCAGGTGTTACTGACAGGTGAGTCCCTTTGTTAGTCCCTCCAATTTTACTGGGCATGTGTGTATCTTTCCTTTGCTGGACCCCTGGGGGAGTGTAAAGCCGTTGCCTCCTGATAAAGCTGCCTGAATGACATGCCTATAGTATTTGGCCTTCCTTTTGCTCCTTTTCTGTTATTAATAACTAGGTTAACCACAATGGTACCAAAAGAGTGTGTTCACCTTACTGTGATGCGTGCAATCAACTATATAAAAACACATTTAAAAAAAAGATATACATGGTTTTTAATCAAGAGTAGAAATACATTTATTTTCTTTTTCAGAGTTAACTTAGTCCTAAACTTTTTCAAGGAGCATAAAAGATTGATTTGACAAAAAATACGGCCATGTGAAAACTTGACCACAGACTCTTTTATAATGGGAATCAACTGAATTTACAAAATATTGTATTTCCACTCACAAACATGCTTAGTATTTTAACTCTAAGTAAAATAAGTGTGTGTGTGTGTGTGTGTGTGTGTGTGTGGAGGGGGAATGGGTAGGGTGGGAGGGGTGTGTGATTTCAATCTGGAGAGGCTGAATGTTCAAGATGACAACTCACAGTTGTCAGACACTTTCTAGGTCCTGGAAAGAAGTTTAAGAAAAGGTGCCTGTGATTGTGAGGTGGCATGAGGCAGCCTTTAAAAAGGCCTGGCAGGGTGATTTCTTTGTAAAATCTATTTGGCCACAAAGTACAAAACAAACAAACAAACAAACAAACAAACAAACAAAACTAGGAACCTTAGATTAGAGGGTCTTACATTTAGCATGAGGAAATTAAAACAGGGCTGCCTGATGCATAACAGAGTCTGAAGTGGACACTTTATTTTCTGGGATATTTTAATTTGGAGTAAGAGTAATTAATATTGGTGAGCTAGAACTATATGTTAAGATCTCAGAAATTATTTATTTGTACTTTACTCAGTTCTCTATCATAATGTGTGGATATAATTATGTCACAATTTAATATTGTAGTCATAGTCATAGAGTGCTTACTTGATTCCATAATTGAGATACATAACTCACACCATAATGGAAATTAATGACATCATCCTCATTAGTGGTAGTCGCAGACTACTAATTGTTTGTCTGAATTGAGATGACAACTAATTACAGAAAATCCAGTTGCCTAGTTTATGGACCAATGGGAATCTGCGTTTTCTCCCTTTCTTCATTGAAAAGAAAACCAGTGGTCTAGAGTTGTATGATTTAGCAAATACGAATACAGGATGCCTAATTATATTTGAATTCTAGATGAACAAAAAATAACTTTTTTAGTATAAGCGCATCCCATGCAATATTTAGGACAAAATCCATTGTTTGTGTTTATCTGAATTTGAAAATATGTATCCTATAATTTATCTGACAACATCACGAGAAGTAGAATTTGAATGCATTTATTTTTTGCTGGAAGAAAGAACCCTGGCTTCCAGCTAGTTCATTGTCCAGGCAACACAAATTGAGCCCTATTTTCATTTGAAATAGTATTATTGTGATCCCATAAATGGTGCTTACTTATGATGTAAGCATAGTTGTATGCTATATTAACTGTAACTTCACTGCCTTTGTCATGTTTTTATCTTTTAATAGATACATGTATTATAATGTAATAATTACTTAATAATTGCCTATATATTTTGTAAAAAATACCATATTAATAAAAAACTATAATTATCTAAATATTAGAATAAAATATGAAAAAAATGTCTCTTTTCCAGGTAGGAACATTGTCCTCAACTTTGAGTTTACATTACTCTAGAGATGTCATGGAGATACACACAGGGATAGAATAATTTTCAGTGCTTTTTTTTAGGAATATAATATTTTTCCTTGGGGTTTTTAGAACACAGTCTTGAGTGCTTATGCTTGTGACATTTAAAAAACTTTACTTTTTAATTAGATATATTTGTTCATAAAATTCAAGAAAGAATATCTTTGTGCACAGTGAGTGGAAGTAACATTTGGTACTTTTATGTTCAAAGTGCATAGAACACTATAGCTATTGATTAAAACTGTTATATAATCAATTGGAGTTTTGTGTAGAATGGATGCAGATCAAAGTAAAAAGATTTAGCCTTAAAGAAGAATAAAAGATGCTAGGAATGCTAAATTACATGTTAGTGCTTAATGTACATGGCTAAAAAGATCAAAGTAGCTATGCTGATCTAGTCTACTGAGCGTAAAGGTAGAGAACATAATTAATTGAACAGTAGATAAAAGTCCAAAGACTCAGATGTGGGGGTAATGGTTAGTAGCTACTGCCCACATCAGAGCAGTAGGGGGAAATTAGCCCTATGCTAATGGCAAAGTTGCCATGTGTAAGAGTGTGTGGTGAACTGGAAAAGAAAGAGTAACTGGTTTTTAAATATGAGGTATTTCTAAATCAAATACAAATTTCTAATCACTGGCAAAGTAATTCTGAGGAGTTCTTCCTGGCTAAGACTTCTACACTAGTCTTTCTTTGGAAGAAAATTTTGGTTGGGAAATCAATGCCAATAAAAAATTTCAGCTTTGTTAATCACCCATCCTTGTTTCTGTGCTTTTTGTATCTCCTTCTTAGTTTGCAGATGCTTCTAGTTCAGAGTTTCCATTTCTTCTAAGTTTTCTGTAGTTTCTGACTAGTGCATCTCAGTGGTTGTTTCAAAGGTACTTGCCAAGAAGAAAGCACCAGCTGAATCTTCCATTATCCGTAGGCTTATTTTGGAAGCTACTTAATACAATGATGGATCTTATGTTGTTTCCTTGTTTGAACCCTTTCCAACCTGTTCTCACATTCATAGCTTTGTGCTATAGAGAATTTTTTTAGGTGCAGAATTTATTTTCATTCGTGGTAGAAATGCTGTGACTATTGCTTACATGTCTTTTTCTGAATGAATTGATTGATAATTGGCCAGTTTAATGCTCTTACCAAAGCTATTTTCACAATGTCCTGATTTCTAGTGGAAGCTTTTTACAGGTCTCCACATTTACAGAGTTTTTCATCTGTGTAGATTTGCTTAAGAATATGGGTTATTCCCTGACTGAATAGCTTAGTTGGTTAGGATGTTGTTCCAATATGCCAAGGTTCTGGTTAGGGCACATACAAGAATCAACCAATCAATGCATAAATAAGTGGAACAATAAATAGATGCTTCCCTCTCTTCCCCTAAAATCAATTAAAAAAAAAGAATATGGATTATTTATTGAAAAACTATTTCTATAGCCACTGTTTCTGAAAAGGGTTTACACCATGTGTATTTTCTGGTATTTGTTCAGTTAAAGTTCTTAAATAAGAATGGAAGTACCTCATTTTCTTCACAGTAAAACAATTTACTAGGTTTTCTTATTTTTATCCTCACCCGAGGACATTTTTTCATTTTTGGTTCAGATAGAGTGGGAAGGAGAGAGAGAGAGAGAGAGAGAGAGAGAGAGAGAGAGAGAGAGA